GCCCCCACGAGCTACGAGCATCACAGCCCAGCTTTCCAACTCAGGGTCCATCAGCGACCCCCTCCACCTGGCACCCCTGTCTTATCAAAGTGGGGCCATCGCTTCAGGACTCTCCCCCAAAGAAGGCTGAAGTTCCTATCTCCAGGAGTGACTGCACCCTGGTGCTGACCGAGGAGTGGGATAGCAATGCCCTGTTACTGAGGCAGGGTCCCTGTGTGCTTCCCCAGCCTGGATGTCCCAGGCAGATGCAGGAGTCCACCATGAGGCACCAGCCAGGCATGCTGAGGGGTCACCCCTCGACAGAGAGCTGAGTGGTTACAGAGAAAGAGCACCCTCAGAAAGCCCTCGGAGAAATGGTGCCTGAGCTCTCCCCTCCCTGGCCACTCTAAGGCTTTCTGTTGCTGCCTGCTCTGTGACTTTGGACAAGTCTGATGACCTCTCTGAGCCTGTATTTCCACATTTGTATTTGACCGAGTGTGAGTAGAGACTACCCATGTACTGCCATGGGGCTGGCCCAGCATGTCCCTGGGCTTGAGTCAGGAGTGGTTGGGACAGACCAGCCTCCACACAAAGGTACGTTAACCTGCATCCTCGCCGGCCCAGGCAAAGGAAGCTTCTCGGGAGGTCAGCGCGGTCTTGGCTTCCTCCCGTGGACAGGTTCCTATTTAAAGCTCACAAGGTGGGGGCATCCAGGGCAGCCCGCTGCGTGAGCGAGCCTGGGGAGAAGGTGGGAGTTCGTAGGAAGAAGGTGGAAAGATTCGCTTCTAATTGAATCCATGTCTGGGCACCGCTCTCCCAGGCCACCTCTAACCTGCACGTGTGCACAGAAATCAGGAGATAAATAAATGGAGACGCTGAGTTCCGGGGCAGCCTGGAAGGTTGGGGAAGGAATCGATGCTCTCCCCAAGCAGCTGTCCAGGATGAAGTGTAATAGTTAATAAAGGCTGACTGTGCACACACACAGCTGGGGCCAGCAAACAGAGGAGCGGCCTGGGGGGCGCCTCCTGCTCGGCACACCCCTCCCCCACCCGGTGCTGATGGCAGGCTGATTAAATCAGGCTTCCAGGCAGTGGATCCAATTAGAGGGGGCGCGGGAGTCTGGGGTGCTACGATGACTGCACAAGACATGTCAAGTAATCCTTAATCTCCCTGATTTGCTTCCCTGGGTCAGGAGTTTGGTGGGGGCAGAAGGAGCAGGTGGTGGATGGACTGAGAGGGAGCAGAACAGCAGCCCTGAGCGCTGGGACCAGCCCAGGTGCAGCGGGCTCCTCTTACTGTGCCAGGAAGACACCGAGGCAGGATTCCCGCCTTGAGGAAGTCGCCCCAGGAGCTGGCTCGGGAAGGGGCTTCATCATAAACAGATCTTAGGAAGGTGGAGGATAATTCAGAAGCCATGCTCTCTGGCTTTGGAGTGTGTTAATTTTGCTCCCAGAAGATTTACCCAAGTCCGCTTGGCTTACGTGATAAAACTGGGTTGGCCCCTTTCGGTCACACCTGCACCAGCAGTAAGGGGCCAGGACTCTCAGACTCGAACTAGGAGGCTGGCAGCAGGAAGGATCTGGGAGTTTACAACTTGTCCAGAGAGAGCCACAAAAATAGGCCACGGAAACTGCTTGCCCAGAGAGGTGGGGAAGCAAGGGAGAGCTGGAATGTTCTAGAGAGACTAGATCCAGGCAGCTGTCTGCAGCGGCTTCCTAGAGGAGTTGGCACCGGACCCTGGGGACAAGAACAGAAACGTTCAGCCCACAGGAATGGCTTCCCTTCACTTGCCACCTCCAGATAGAGGTCAACCAGATGGCCCCTGCCCCTCACCTAATGTAAAGGCCACTCGTCCTGCATGGATGATGGTCGGGAAGTTTGCAGTCTGCCAGGCCCACGGTGACACCCCATCTGAGGGCCACAGGAGAAGAGCAGACAGAACCCAGGATGATGACACCTGACAAACAGCAGGAGACGGGCATTGTTGGGAATTGTCACTACGGGATCCCCTGGATGCCCGTGGCTAACTCTGAGATTGCTTCCATTGATTCTCCCGGAACTGTTGCCTGCAGTGTGCTCACGTGGAATTCCTAGAGAGGTGGCAAGTCCTTGTCCTTAGAGCACCTTCCCTTCTGATTTTTCAGAAAGGTGCTGAAGCCTCAGGTGTCTCTGGGAATCTTAGTTAATGGATAATCCCTATGTGTGTGGGGGTGGGGCAGGGTGGGAATGGTCACTTGGAAATCAGTGGGGGCCTCTAAGCACCAATGATGTCACCGCCATCTCCTCTGTCCGTGGGCGCTAGGCCAGGAGGTGGGAGGCTAGAGACAATTCTTGCTTTGACACTAACCCTGCTGGTTCCTTTGCACGAGTCTAATCTCCTTGATACCCAATTTCTTCATCCTCAAAACGAGGGGGTCAGACTGGATGGGCCCCAGGGTTTCCTTGATTCTAAAGATCTGTGATGCTGGAGATGGTCTCCCCTCTCCCAACTCTCTCTCTCTCTCTCTCTCTCTCTGACTTCCTATTACTGTGGCCACGGGGCTTCTATTTTATTTCCTTCCATGTTGCAGGATCTGAGCATCACTTTTGACTGACTGCAGGTGTAATAGAATTTGTACTTTCTCAAAATTTAATTACTAGCAGTAAACGATCAATCAATCCATTGATTAACTACTTATTGATTCCCCCTGACATGGCTCCGAGACAGTTAGGCTGCATTTGGAACACAATCCTTTGGTAATTGGCTTATCCTGCCGGGCGCAGAGGCTTTTGTTAAAAGGCATTTGGGTCTTGGTAAATGGCTTTTTATCTAAGTATTTATTTCTCAGATTTCAGGACTGCTATTGGGAGACATTTTCTGTGTGTTCTGGGTTTAGCAGGTAAAGACCTGAGATGTAAACATGGAATTCACGTGGCTGCTGCCGATGATATACAGCGCAAGCCATTCTGGCCCTTTAACGGAGGGTCCCAGGCCCCTTAACAGAGGGTCCTAGGATAACGCATTTTGCCTCTTTGTACCTCTGGTAGCTTCCCTGTAAAGCAAAGGTTTGGCGCTCCAAGATCTCTAAGGGTTCAAATTCCCTCAACTCTGAGTTTAACTCTCTTTTCCACAAACAGTCGAGCTTAAAGAGACAGGAAATTTACATATCAAACACGGCTGCAGGTCAGTCGCCCAGGCTGCATCCCTCTTGGGGAGATGTGGATGGTCGGGGTGATGCTTTGAAGTGTGAACACTGAGCGCATTCCTTATGCCAGGCACAGGCCAGAGGGAATTGGCCTGAGGTTTCCAAACGTGCACCCCTTTCAAGGTGCAGCCAGGTCCCAGTCATCCGCAGGGCGGGGGTGGGGTGGGGTAGGGGGGGCGCGTGGAGAAAGGAATTTGGCTGGACCTCCTCTGCCACCGGAGCCCTCTGTGCTCCCTCCCTTCTGTAGAGCCATCGCCTGCCCAGAAAGGTGAACTCACCTCGCGGTCAACGTGGGTCTGCCCACTCCTACCCTGTACCACTGCCCAAACCCCCCATGGACTCTGAAGTGAGGAGGAAAGAATCTTTGAAAAACCTACTGGTTTGGAAGGTCCATTTGGACACACAAGTAACTGAACTATGACAGAAGTAGGAACCAAACGACCCCCGAGCACAGAGGCGTCCCCTCCCTGGACCCTCATGGCATCCGATGACAGGACATGCCTGGACCCTTGTGAGCCGGCCACTCCCGCATCTCAGAACCTTCAGGAGCCCCCCACATTGTAGAAGCAGGTCCAAACCCTGGTCAGGACAGACCAGGCCCATCTGGATCCAGCCGGACCTGCCTCTCCCCTCCCGGCCTGCACAGGAATGGTGAATGGGTGGGCTTGGTTTTGAATGACCAGGGAAGTTGAGGTTCATTCTTTGCGCTTAATATTAGGAACAAGCGACCAAAGCCTCAGAACCACTCTCTTGGTTTCTTTCCTTTCCTGAGAGGCAAACAAAGGTCCCTGAAGACCTAGGAGATGGAAAGCTTCTCTCCTTTAAAGAGGACCCAGCATCACAGACTTGGCCAGGCCATGCTCCAATGGTACTTGGAGCTACAGCTACACCAATCTCTTGGTTTCTCAAATAAACCAGGGTCGTTTAGACACGCCCCTCCCCTGCCCCAGAGCCTTTGCCTGTGTTCCTTTGGCCTGGAAAGTCCTCCCCACACCGCCCCTATGCTTCATATTTGGATCTATCTTGTTCTCAGGTCTCAGTGTAGATTTTCTCAGTGAACATCTCTTTTCTGATGAGCCCCAAGTCGTTCTTGTCCATTCTTGTCCATCTCACTCCCTGCCTGGCTTCCACACTGCCACTCCACTTTTGTTGCAGTTGTTTTTAACATGATCCCCGGCCTAGGCCAGCCCTTTAGCACCAGGACTGTCTGTCTTGGCCACTGGCCTGTCTCCAGGGCCTTGGGCAGGGCTTAGTACTAAGGATGACCCTTAAATCACTATTGAATGGATGGACAACCCAACGCAGACGGCTTGGGCTGGAGGAAGTCCTGCTGGGTACCTCACACTCCTCAGCCCAGGCAGACGGACCTTGAAGGTCTCCCAGGGCAAGGTGCCACAGCCGGCAGCGAGGCAGAGCAGCCCCAGGGCCTGTCCCCACACCATCTGCCCACTCTGGTGCCCACCCGTGCCAAGGCTGCCAAACCCCTTGAAGCGGCCTTCAATGGAGGCCTTGTCTTTGAGGCTGCATTCCCCGTGGGAAGCCCTCTGCCTTTCTCCTTTCATGGGGCCTCTTTGCTGCTGGATTGACTGTAATTGTGGAATTTGCATTTGGTACACCTGCAGCAAGAGGCCCCGGGGGGCACCTAGGCCTTTGGAAATCAATAGGAACAAACAAACAAATATATGCACAGGAGGGGCAGCCGGAGAGGAAGGGAAGGAACACATCCCGGTGCCAGGCTCGCCTGCCTGCGCCCAGAGCCGCCGCCCCTCCCCCGCCACCCCCCCAGACCGACTCGGAGCTCGTGCCAGAGACCCCGCCTTCGATCACTACAGTGAAACCGAGACTGTAATTTCGGTGCTAGCCTGAATGGGTTCATTTCTTTTTATTAACTCCAGCACCCGGGTTTTAGGCAAGTTGGCTATTGTTCGAGCCACGCTCCTCTCCTCTCCACTCCCCACGCTTTGAAGCAGCAGGAACAGCCGGAAGGAGATGGCATTGAACAGCAGAAGTGGCTGCTGTGAGACCAGATCACCCCGCAGAAGGATGGAGACTGGAGCTGCCTGGGGGGGACGGAGGCGGAGGCTCTCCGCCTGGAACCCAGCACTGCTCAGGGACGGGCACCGGTGCCCTCCTGGGCTCACCTGCCTGCTGGTGTCCTACAATTAGAAAGGGACCTGGCCAGCCTCCCAGGTACCCACTGAGCTATAGCATAATGAGGCAAATAGCACCCAGCGAGGCCTGCTCTTGACAAGGTGCCTTTACAGATCCTCCTGCGTATGCCAGAGTTTGCTGAGAGCTGGACCAGGCTCCCGAGACACCGGCTGCTGGCTGGAGCTGCTCTAGAGTGAACTTGTCCCTGAGAATCCGTAGACCCGAGCACCCTGCCAGGAGAAGGAGGGCATGACGTCATCACCCAGGGAAGGAGCGTGGCCTCTCTGGGCATGGGTTTCCTCATCCGCATCTCGATCTCCCACAAGGACAGGGACCATATTGCTCTTTTCCTACCTCCCTCCCTGGCATGTAGCAGACCTTCAGGGTTTTTTTGTCTGTTGTTTGTTTGTTTACTGCTGAGGATTCAAAGCATTTTTAAAGGAATGAATAAATGAAAGACAAAAGAGATGGAGAGAATAATGTCCCTGTCCTAAGGTGGTATACGAATGAAAGAAATCATGTCTGTAAAACCCTCATGCATTCCAAATGCTAACGGCGTTGACTGTTATATTGTTCTCAGAGTGGTCCTTGCTCCAGTGTCAGGCACCTAGGGGCTGGCAGCTCTGGCACTAGATCCCATATCCTTTCTCCTCCAGGAAAGGGATCACGGGACCCAGCATGACTTTAATGTGTTCAGTTACAGGCTGGCTCATGGGACAGGGGGAAGCACCAGATGACAGGTGGGTCCCTTTCTGCGGTGAGGCTGCGGCCAAGCCTGGACCCACCTTCTTCTGTGTGTCCTAGTTAACCTTGCGGGCTAGATTCTGTGTCAGGGCAGGAGGTGGCTTCGGAGAGCACTCAAAGCAGAGGAGGGAGCCAAGTGGGAAGCAGTCCTGTGTGTAAAGAGGAAGAGAGAGCCGAGACCCGGGCGGGGAGGGCTGGGGCACCCACCTGGGACCTTGCTGTCTGGGCAGGTGAGGCCCTGGGAAGTCCAGCCCAGTGGAGGCCAGGACCCTTTCCCAATGCTGGCTGCTGGAGGCTGCTGGTCCCTCCCTGCTCTTGCCAGCCAGCCCCTCCAGGAAGCTAGGTGTTGTTCCTTGGACCCCCGCTGCTGTCCTGACCCCTGCCCTGGGTGAACTCACCACCTTGGCCAGGCCCTTAACACCTGCCGACTGCCCACCTGACATAGCAGTCTCACCATCGAAAATACATGGTGGGGGGCTGGGGATGTGGCTCAAGCGGCAGCACGCTCGCCTGGCATGCGCGGGGCGCTGGGTTCGATTCTCAGCACCACATAAAATAAAGATGTTGTTGTCAGATTAGGCTGGGCAGGCAATGGCCAAAGGAGGCAGATTTAAAAGGCCGCTGAACAGGCTTTATTGGGATATCACTCCTGGGCGGAACTCCATCAGACCCACAGAGGGGACAGGGGAAGGGTCTGAGGAGAAACCACGTGGAAGCTCGACTGCACTGGACTTTTATGGGGCTTACAGCAGGAAGGGAAGGGCTTGGGACAGGAAAAGGTGTCTCTAGGGTCCCTTGCCCCCTTGGAGTTGGTCAGGGGAGTTGGCTGAACTCCAGGATTGGCCAGGGGGGTCCTGCTGATTGACAGGCGTTAGTCAGGAGATCTGGCTGATTGACAGGTGTTTCCAACGGCATCTGATTGATGTTCAAAGCAGCGCGAGCTGCTTTGTTCTAAGTTGCCACTAAGTCGCCACCAAGTCGCTGCCACCGACCTAACAGTTGTGTCCACCGAAAACTGAAAAATAAATATTAAAAAGAAAAAAGAAAACACATGGTGGCAAAAACACCGGGGGTGATGTTGGTGTGCGTGACAGGGCACTTACCAGGCACCATGTGAGGCCCTCAGGTCATGCCCATCACTGTGTTGGATCCTTCCAGATGCCTGGCAGAGGCAGAGACGTTGCTATCCCTGCTGGACAGAGAGGAGGTCAAGGCTGAAAGACCCCAGAGGAGCCACATTGAAAGCCAGTCTGAAGTTGCCACCTCTCTTTGGACCTGTCCTCCTGCAGGGCCAGACTTTGGAGAAGTCTTGTGCCCACAGCTCAGGTCTCACGTTCCTCACCACCTGAGGCTAAGATGATCTCTGCGGATGGGACACAGGCTCAGGGGGGTAGGGGTAGGGGTGGGAGTTGGGAGTTGAGAGTTGGGAAAGGGCCTGGAGACATGGGTGAGGGGTGTCGGGGAGGCCTGGCAGCAGCAGTGGGCATATTCCTGGGTAAACAGCACAACTTTGTCATCAGGGGCTTCTGCTACAGCTGGGGGATGACAGACCAGGAAAGAGACAGGAACTCAAGACACGAGATACAGCAGGGACCAAGGGGACAGGGTACGACACAGAAGTCCAATCAGTAGAGGCCAGGGGACTCATATTGATCCTGCACCTCCTCATACTCACCATGGAAACCGCGAAGCACGGCTCTGGTTCCTCGCTTTTGTGATCTTGTTGGATCCTCATCATCCTTTACAGTGGTATTAACACCCCAACTTACAGATGAGATCATGGAGGCCCAGGGGCTGGCTGCAGGTCCCACAGTTTGGAAGCCCCAGAGACTGGACTTGACCTCAGGCCTTCTGGAGTCCATGCCGTTCCCCCACAGCTTCCAGGGACCCCGGGTTAAGGAGAGGGCCAGCTGGATGCTGGGGTTGTGGGTACAGAAATATTTTTTAATGTTCCTTTCCTGTGACTCAGAAAGGCTGAAACTTTGGGGGCAGGTTTGTAACCTATTATGGGGACCTAGGGAGGTGTGTGGTTGCAGGAAAAGAGTCACTCATGGTGTCACACACAGGGGTCTCAAGAGCAGCCCAAGGCTCTAACTGCAGTGAATCAGCCACTGCTGACTGACAGGTCCTTCCTCAGTCCCCCCTCCCCCCAAGGGCAGCCTGGTCAACAGGCTCTGCCCTGACCTTGCTATGACATAAGTTTTTGCAAAAGTCCCTAACTTCCCAGAGCCATGGGCTCCTCATCTGTGACACACAGAGGCTGGAATGACCCTAGTACTGGTTTCCTATTCCCTAGCGTTCGGCCAGTCTACACATGGGCAGTAACTTAGGGTTGCATGGCATGGCCTCGCCCCTTGGCCTCACCCCGTGGCATCCTTCAATAATGGAGACAGTTAGGATAGTGGCGCAGGTCATAGTCTGCTTTGGGACACCCGAGACAAAAGCCAGCCACACTCTTAGCTCCAGGGGCTGGTGCTCTGGTCCGGGAGGACTTACTGACAGGAAGCATGCATCAGAGGCCGTGAAAACCACACGACTCGATGCCAACCTGGGAGGGGCTCAGAGAGGAAGTGTTGCAAGGAGTTGTCACCAAAGACCCCACAGGGGAAATGGGACTCTGAGAAGGGGAGTGCTTGGGCTAGCTATCCCCGGGTTCTGCAAGCGAGAGAATAGTAAGGAAAGGGAGAAAGAGCTGCTGCACGGGGTGCCCGGGGCAGTGGGCAAACCACAGTAGCATTGACGGACAGAGCTCTGAAGGCCCTAGCTGGGAAGGGACAGAGGGCTCAAGGCCTTTGAGAACATCAGGCCTCCCTTACTGCACTCGGTATTCTCATTAGCATGTAAACCGGGCCATTGGGAAACATTCCCGTGAAACCCATGAGCACCCGTAACGCTCATCAACCAAAAATGTACTGAACTACTCTGTGCAATATCCATTAGGGGCTCAGCATAGTGCGAGGTCCTTTTTTTTTTTTTTTTTTTTTTTTTAAATTGCGATGAAATTCACATAAAATGCTGGATACGTTTTATTCGTGACCCTTACACTCCAGAACAGCAATGTAGAGTAGGTGTGTTTATCCCTATTTTTGCAGAAAGGGAAACTGAGCCTCTAGAGCTCCCACAACGTGTCCTAGGCCACCCGGCAGAGAGGTAGCAGAGGGACACCGGAGGGTAGATCTATGTGAATCCAAAGTCTTATCCTTTCTATGGCATCGCAATTCATAAAGGTACTTATTTCTATAAATTGATGGACAAATAAAAATATCTGCTCAGAAAGCCTATCATCAGCCGATGCTTCCCAAAGTGTCACGGTTATAGATTTGGCAACTGGCCTGCCATAGTCCCTGGTGGGCCTGGGCCTTCGATTCTTTGCAAGCTGGGCTAAAAGTGGGCCACCTATTGTCTGCCTGGAGAGCCCACCGTTCCTCTGGGCACCCTGAGTCTTGGTCCCCTCCCCGACCCCATCCTGGAGCACCCTCTCTCTTCCCAGGCCCTGCCCCTCCCCCCGCCGCTGTGAGCCGCAGCATTTCCCGGGTGCACTGTTGTGTATCAAATGCTCAGTGTTGGCGCTGAGCGACACGCACGGCAGCCGGCCCTCTGTACTTGTTACAGCTCGGTGGAAACACCCGCGCTCTTTGGAAGAGCAGGGGAGGAATCAATGTTTCAGTCGCACTATAAATAATGAAGTGCGAAGGATGTTGTGTAAGCGGTGCTCTGGGTTTTGCCAGGAGGTATGTTTTCCTTCTTTCTCTCTTTTTTTTTTCCTTTTACCTTCCTTCCCCAGCCCCTCTTGATTCAGTCCAATACAAAATGCTTCCCACCAGGGATCAGAGGAAGACAGCTCCGCTCCAAGGGAAGGAGAAGATTAAACTGTTAAAACTAAACAAATCAATCCCAGTAGGAGGAGAGCGCCTGGCCTGGCCTGCACTGGGCATTGATTTGGGTACCTTAAGAGAGGGAACCTTCTGGAAGAGGTGGGGTCTCGTCCTGGCAGGGGTGGGAGAGGAGCAGGCAGCGCCCTGAGCAGGAGGCGCTCTCTGGAAGAGGGTTGGGGTGGGCTCTAGCCCTTCCACTTTCTCAGCCCCCCACACGGATGAGCTCCCAGAAGGAGCTGGCTGGGTTCTGCTTTCAGGATGGGGGGCCACGGATAGAGTGCGACCCCAACGTGTGGGGTTCTGGGAACCAGGCTGGGAAACCAAGGGCAGAGCAGAGGCACAAGCAGAACCCAATTCATGGTCAAGGTGGGAGCCAAGGGCTGAACCCCATTAAGAGAGCCCAGGGGTCACTGATGGGAAGGTGAGAGGGAAGGTCAGAGGCCAGGCTGTGGTGGCAGGAAATGGCAAGGGTCTGAGAACGAGTCTTTTGCTGAAAGATGCCTTCCTCTTCCTGTCCTTCTGGCCCTTGCTGTTCCCTGTGGTTCAGCCAGAATGAGATGGGGACCTTCCCCAGTCAGGGGGCAAGCAGATGTGGGACGTCGAAGGCAACCACTCCAGTGGGCTGATACCAGGGCACCAGAGGACCCGGTGGCCTTTCCTCTGGGACTACATTTCTTCAAGTACGGGACTCATCTGGGGAGCTTGTTTTTAAATATGTAGATTTCTTGTCCCCGTTCCAGCCCTACCAAATTCAAATTTTGAGTGGGCCCAGGAATCTGCATTTTAAACAAGCACGTTGGTGACTTCTTGACATGAATTTTGATACACCTGTTGGGAGCTACACTCAAC